GCTTCGCTCGCTCGGAAGCCGGGATCGTGGGTTCGGATCTGTTTCCTGTGAGGTACGAACTGAATTCTTATATATTATTCTTATACACTGCCGGACATGGTAGCCGAGGGGTCTGAGGCATGGACTGTCTTCCCTTGCTCGGAAGCCGAGATCGTGGATTCGGAATCCACTCAGGGCATGGATGTTTAGTTTGTGTGTGTGGTTTTTCCTGTGCTTCTCTTCACGTAGAGGCCTTGCGACGAGCTGATCACCCGCCCAAGGTGTCCTACCGAATGTATAAGATCTAGAAAAACCAACGGAGAAGTTCACGGAGGTAGGCCTTGGCCCACTGGGGCTGTGGTGCCAATGGAAAAGAGTGAGCGTGGTGTTAATGAAACTTGAAGAAGAGCAGTCATTTGAAACAAAACTTCACGTGTACACGATGGTGAATCATTTTAAAACAGAAAAATGTTTATTATTTAATTTATAACATTCAGTGTTTCTTAAACCTAAATGAGGCTGTGTACACATCTCTTTTACCGAGGCCCGTTAATGTACCTCTGTTTACAGCATGAATCTTATGGGAAGTTGCTGTTACTCGCTACAGAGTATATTGAGAACTGCCTGTATATCTGTACATCCTCGGCCCACCTTCTCTGAAGTTGTCCCGGGTTTCCAAGGCTCCTCTAGTCGCTGCATGTAGACGGGGTTCACCAGGGTGATAACACGCAGCTAGCAGTAAGAAACGAAGGCGGCGCCCAAGCTAAAACACCTGCAAAATTCACCAGTCTTGGTCCTCTACTGCCTTCAGTACATCTGAGGCCATAACTTCCGCACCAGCTCCAAATAATTTATATATTCAGTGCTGTGTGTCTTGTGCAGGCGACAAGGAATATTTGCATTGACTGTTTGGAAGACAAGCGTGGGTGTTGCTGTGTATCGGTCTCACATTCCTACGGCGCGCACTTATCAGCTTGTCATTTCTTTCGTTAGTTATTTAATGGTGCTTGCAGCGTCGGCTTATAGGATATGTAGATGAATGCTGAAGCGGAAGGGATTTGGAAGGTGGTGGTTGTGCTGTATAATGAGGAGCTTCATGACTTGTACTCTTCTCCAAGTATAATTAGAATGATCAAGTCAAGGAGGATAAGGTGGACAGAACGTGTAGCACGAATAGAGGAGAAGAGGAATGCATATAGGATATTGGTGGGAAAGCCAGAAGGAAAGAGACCACTGGGAAGACCAAGACGTAGGTGGGTGGATAACATTAAAATTGATCTTAAGGAGATAGGATAGGATGGTATGAATTGGATTGATCTGGCTCAGGATAGAGACCAGTGGAAGGGTCTTTTGAATACGGTAATGAACCTTCGCGTTCCATAAAATGCTGGGAAATTCTTGAGTAGCTGCAGAATTGGCGGCTCCTCCAGAAGGGCTCAGCTCCATGAATACGTAAGTTAGTAAATGGTTGTGCTCTAAACGAAATACCATCGGGGCATTTGCCTGGAGCGACTGAGGAAAACGGCTAAGATTCTCATTTAACATAACTGACGTCACCGTCGAGGGTCAAAACGATCACATCTCTGATAGGAGTCCAGAAACTTGGCCCTGAGCTAAACTTCTCGGTCAGGCTCATATTCAAAGTTGGTCGTACAATTTCTTGGTTTGTTTTCCTTCTTAACTCTTGCCGGTGTGTATTCACGGCCACCAAAATACAGAGTATCCTAGGAGGAAAGGTCACAGTATCGGTCATTCCTTGCAAGAAAGTGTATATGTACATGTACCCTGTTCCGAACGTTTTCCGAGATAAAGCTATTTCACTGTACAGTGTACAGACGAGCAGCCTGCCATGTTTTCACACGAGTTGTAATGTGCATTGATGTTGACGGCGGAATTTTCGGAAAAGTATCTCGGAAACCGTTCGGAATAGGACACATTTACATACATACTTTTCGCCTAGAATGACCGATACTCTGACCTCCCAGGATATTGACCTTTCCTCCTGGGACATCCTGTATAACCTTGAGTATTTTACTGTCCTCTCGCTTGCAATATTCAACCCAAAATGCTTCATGCAATTATGAGTATTGTTATTCATAACGAAAGCTCTCTCGGTAGCTCAGTCGATATAGCAACTAGGTTACTGGTAGAGAGGTAGGGAGACCTATCTACCCTCCACATGATAAACATCGGCGCCGAGACCCACTCAGTCACCTATCAATTAGGTACAGAGGGCTCTTTCGTAGAGGGTAAAGAAGCCTGAGCGTGAAGCTGACCGCTCACGTCCATCTAATGCCGAAGTTAATTATACATTCAGCTATGCCTCCACTCCCCCCTTACGTCTTTTCGTGTTTGTGCACAGCAACAACTTTTCCCTTACCTGAAGGGAACTGAGAAAATGGGGCAGATTCTGGCTGGTCTCGAACCCGAAACCCTTGATAAAGCAGTGTTAACGTCAGCACCTTCATGACTTCTCATGGTTAGTATGTTCCTCGTTTCAGTTACCTCAGGCCCGTCGCAGTATCTGCGGGCTAGTTCTCTGTGTGGTCATCCTTTTGACTGTGGAGGGGGAAGCTGCCTGAATATTTCAAGGCGTCTGCTGGAAAATGGGTGGTGGAGGGGTTGTGAATTGCTCCAAGGATATTCCCCAAGGAGTCGGTAGTCCAAGGGGGAACTGCGGGCAATAGTTCCGATGCAATTTACTAACCTGTTCGCCCTTGTACTGACCGCAGTGTTAGACGACCGGGAAAGGAAATGCACCCTACGCCTTTATTAATATTTCAAGAAGTGCGGTTTTGCTTAATTTGGGAATATAGGTTCCCATATGTTGGCATGCGTGGAAACTGTGAAGGAAAGAAAAGAAAGTAAAGGAATGAGAGAGGAAGAAACGTAAGAAGTAGAGAATGGAGAATAAACATGGAAACAGAGAGAAATATAGATAGGAATCAGGAGCTGCATGCAGAGCACCTGATACCATATTGAAAATAGTATATAGTGATGACGTAACGATCTACGTCACTATTCGATGATGACGCAGTGTCAGAAATGTTTTGGACGCAGAATATTCGCGAGTGTTAGCATATTCCTCTCACATGGAATGGAGCAGGTTGGCGCAGCGGTAGCGATCTAGGCTTCAGTTCGGGAGATGATTGATACGAAGCTTGGCCAAGTCTCGGGGGGGGGGGGGGGTACCTGATATTTTTCAGTCACTTTGGGCAAAAGCTTCGATTACTTCCGAATTCCTTTCCATTAGACTTCCTACAATTCGACAATATGCAGTCTAGATACAGCGTCGTGAAATAATATACGAATAAAACAAAAGTCTTAAGAGTGTCAAACCGAAACGTCGAAGATCTATTTTTAGCAGCGTCCCAGTGAAGACTGTGGCATGTATGTACTCCTCTATCAGCTCTCGTGTTAACGGGATCATATGGTAAGAATTTGGAGCCGGCGCAGCTCAGTCGGTATAGTGACGGTCTGCATTCTTGACGGATGGGTTTCGGTTCCTGACAGGGTCAAGAGACATTTCCCTTTCCCCACGGCGTCCTGACCGGCCCTGGGGCTCACACAGCCTCC